AGGTAGATACTTATACATAGGTAGATACATATACATAGGTAGATACATATACATAGGTAGATACATATATATGTATAGGTAGATACATATACATAGGTAGATACATATATACATAGGTAGATACATACATATAGGTAGATACATATATATAGGTAGATACATACGTATATATAGGTAGATACATATATATAGGTAGATACATATACATAGGTAGATACATATACATAGGTAGATACATATACATAGGTAGATACATATATACATAGGTAGATACATACATATAGGTAGATACATACATATAGGTAGATACATATACATAGGTAGATACATACATATAGGTAGATACATATATATAGGTAGATACATACGTATATATAGGTAGATACATATATTTAGGTAGATACATATATATAAGTAGATACATATATATAGGTAGATACATATACATAGGTAGACACATACGTATATATAGGTAGATTCATATATATATATAGGTAGATTCATATGTATAGGTAGATACATATATTTAGGTAGACGTATGTGTATGAGTCATCGTAGTATCATTGATCACGTAAAAAGGAACCATAATGAAAGTCGACATATCAACTTTATCACTCACATTTCCAATGTGTCGTTTTACTTCTTCGGTCTTCGAATCCCTCATTGGATTATCGAATCCACAGAGACCAATTCTGAAAAAGAAAAGAAAAAAAAGATTAGAATCAGGTGTTTATAATTAATAACCGATATGAACGTCATCCGTATTTGGTTAATTCTAGTTTGACACTAGGTAATGTACTTGATATATAAACAAACGAACAGAATTGATAAAAAAAATAGTTTAATTAGCTAACCTATAACCATCAAATCCGTCATCCGATCCGTTAACTGTTAGGACAGGAACTCGGGCATAGGCTTTGGCTACTCTCCTATTTCTCTCCATACAAATGACTTTAGCCCAGATTTCGTCGTCAATTTGGTCCCACTTATTAAGAACCTCTTGTATGTGATCCTACAGAAGTTATAAATATAAAAAACATGTGATTTCGTCTAGTTATTAAAGTCTGTTTTACTGTTAGTCGACACCATTGATCCCTTACTTTGACACTGTTAGTTTTGTATACCGTTACGTAAACTCATCACATCAAACAGTTACATTTGTCGTTGTTAGTTTAGTTTAACGTTACGTAAACTCATCACATCAAACAGTTACATTTATCGTTGTTAGTTTAGTATACCTTTACGTAACATTAAACTAAACTAACAACGACAAATGTAACTGTTTGATGTGATGAGTTTACGTAACTAAACTAACAACGACAAATGTAACTGTTTGATGTGATGAGATTAAACTTTACGTAACATTAAACTAAACTAACAACGACAAATGTAACTGTTTGATGTGATGAGTTTACGTATCAAATTACTATTGTTTGGTATTATTTTCACCTTCATCTTTATTGTCAGCGAGCGATAATTATAAATAGAAAATATAGATAGGAGTTTCACTAAATAATTGAAATGAGATTTCGTGAATGTCAAAGCAATTAGAATTCCTGATATTCTCGCTAAACACGCACAACAGGAAACTCATTCAAAAACAAAGTATAATCTCAGTCAAAGCAGTTAAAATTTCTGATATTCTCGCTAAACACTCACAACAGGAAACTCATTCAAAAACAAGCTATAATCTCAGTCAAACAGTTAGAATTCCTGATATTCTCGCTATACACGCACAACAGGAAACTCATTCAAAAACAAGCTATAATCTCAGTCAAAGCAGTTAGAATTCCTGATATTCTCGCTAAACACGCACAACAGGAAACTCATTCAAAAACAAAGTATAATCTCAGTCAAAGCAGTTAGAATTTCTGATATTCTCGCTAAACACGCACAACAGAAAACTCATTCAAAAATATCTACAAACTTTTCATTTTAAGCCCCATTCGTTCATAAGGGGAGAGGGGGTTGACTCGTGTATAGGGGCCAATAAACAAAAATATGCCAACAATCCTAGTGAGTCAACCAGAGGCTAACATAACGCAAGCCATCTATACGGAGCTATGATAATTTTCAGAAACAATCATACATTTTGGTTCAAATTGTTTAATTTTGACGGTCTTATTTTAACTAGGTGGTGATTTTGAGGTCGGGGGAAGATTAGAGACCTTAATTTCTCCCAAATTTATGGCGTGCCACAACAGAGTAGCTATAGAAACGCCCCTTTTGTATTACTAACCACAGACAACCTATCAAAAAAACAAGTTGAGAATTTATTGAAGTATGTGAAATTAGCTGTAGGAATAAAGAACGGTTGACGAGTTAGATAGTTAAGCCTGACAACCACTAGTGTTTTCAATAAACCATAAAGGCCAGGTGGTCTTCAAATCAGAAAATCACTTAGTAAAGCACCATTTATAACAATTTTGAGCAAAAATCCCTTTTTGTCGAGGTCAAAGTAAAAACGAAACGCCTTCTATAGCTCGAGGTACCTCGTGGTGTTCACGTTCCTTGACGTGGGAGGATCTTTTAAAGTCAATAAGTGGATGAACTATTATCCCATATTTAACACCAAATGACGTCTACAGCCGAATTTTTCACCACCCGTGGTAACACCATACTTAAACATGATTTAGGGATCTCTAGACTTTGCAAATAACATACAAAAAAAAAGGTTTAGTTATCACTTACCGTTCCCCTGGTGACTCAGTGGTACGTCTGAGGACGTATCACAGAAAAAATCGGGGTTCGATACCCGCGATGATCAAAGTACCGATAAGTCATTGAATAGTTTTGCAACAAAGAAAGAAAGAAGATTATTGATTATCACCCTAAAACTTTTTTACAATTCTTCATCTGTGGTGCACAGGTTCGTTTCAACGCAGGCCTAGCGATATTCTTCTGATTTAAAAGTATTCACATCCTCGGTATGGTTTCAAGCCTTTGCAACAACAATAATAACTCCCGATTATGGTCCATCAACAATAACGAAGAATCTTAATCAATTATATGATTTTTGAGCACTGGTTAGTATAAAGTTTCAGTTTTATGGGTGTAAAAAAAAAGTCTTTATATTTCAGATACTTCCCTGAGCACTAACTGGTTTATAGACATGTTACATTAATTAAAATATAGTTTGTTTGCTTG